CGATAGAGATACGGAAATTCTTCCTCCTCCTTTCTGCTTAGAAACACCATTACTGAAACATTGAAGCTTTTAAATTATCATTGCTTTCTGAGGAACTTCTCCAGCTGAAATACATTTAAGCTTTATGGGACACAGCAGCATCTAGAAGGGTGCCAGGGACTCACTGCCCAGTGCAGAAGTGGCTGTTGGAAGGACAGCCTCCTCGCAGGGTGGGCTGAGTGGCAGTCTCTGTGTGTCCCCAACACAGCTCCTCCATTCAGAGCAGCATCTGACCAGCTGTGCCATTTTACTGGAATTTAACAGGAAAACCAAGTCTGTAAAGCCAAGACTTCCTACAAGGTCATTCCTGAATCCACCGCTAGCTTCTAATCCTGCAAGCTTGCTCCTTCTGCAGAGGCCCCTCGAATCTAGTGCTGCCCTGCAGACATCAGAGTGAGGAGCACTGTGGGAATTAGCCTTTAAAGTGACCAGAGGGTTCATCTGAGGCAACACCTCAGTTTCACCAGGCAGCCCAGCTCTTACGCTATCAGGTTTTTTTTTGGGGAGGGAACCAGGCTTGAATTCCTACTTCTAAATTACGAGTTAAGTCCTCTAGCTGTGCACGTAGGATAGTCATTTTGCCAAATGGCTCAGCCTATGCTCTCACTGCTGGGAAAAGGCAAGAGGGAGCAAAGAGCTGCAAGGAAGAGTTATTAAAACACATACATTCTTTACAAGCTGCTGGTCTTTAGGGCCCTGTTTACAATTGTGTAACAGTTGTAACAGTGGCCATGTTTGGTAGCTGCCTTACTGCCCCATGTCCACTGATTCCAGACTCAAGAGACAGCACATGCTTCTGAAGGTCCCATGGTTGCAGTGGTCTCTGCAGACCAGCTCTTACTGGTATTAGCACAATAATTAATGTACATAGAGGAAAGACTTTTCCTTTTGTTAGTAGATCATTCTACCCCCTAAATTACAATGCAAGTGGAAGTCAAGCAATTGCTCTTTGAAAATCCTTCCATAACCCAAGCTTGCCTGGGAACCAAGATTTGAGAAGCTGTCAGGAATCGATCAACTTTAGCAGGCTTGGCCTTTTAGTAACAGATGCCTCCTCCTTGCCCACTAGGATCAGGTGGAGCCCTAGCAGTCTGCTAAACCAGAGCAGGATCTCTTCTGAGATTCAAAGCTCCCCAGCCACACTCTTCCAGGCAGCTGTGGTTTGCAGGAGTAAAGGCAGCAGCCCAGTCCTGCTTCTTCAAATATCAGAAGGGTTGTTACTTAGCATGTCAAAAACCACCAAAAATAAAACAAACAAAAAACCTAACAACCACCCCCCCCCACCCCCCCCAAAAAACAACTGAACCACCAAACCCAAAACCACCCACCCAATAAAAACCCCAAAAGGTCTGTGCTGACTCAAAGTTAGCACCCTAAAGTAGGTGCTATGTTTAATATTTTAGTTATAGCTGCTGCAGGACTCTGTTATTCACTGTATATCTTGCTAGCTTCATCCAAAGCTAGGAAGATTTATAACTTGATTATTCTGTGAATAGTCTGTGTATCTCCATAAATACAGGGGCCTAAAATCCTGCATTAACTTACACCCTCCATTATCCCTCCAGCTTTACAGAGTCTATAAGGACTGTGAATCAGTGCAAACTGAATTTGAAGTGTTTTAAGATGTAGCATCATGAACTGCTATTTCCAGCCACCACCATTCACATTATAAATTTATTGTATTTTTTTTACTAAAATGAACTAGCACTCTTTTTTACTATAGTATTATATGAAACATATTCATGTATGTTCAGAAATATATTTATAAAATGTAACATACTGTATAGTTCTCCATTACAGAATTCATTGTAATACAAGCATAAGAAATTTAATAAAAGCATCACTACAATAACTGTTTTCACATATTTGGTTAATGAACCCCTGGATGTTAGTATAGCAACTGCTACATTTATAGTTTCAGGTGAACACAGGTGGGCAAGAAAGGAACCGTTACTTCCACACGTTCAAAGAACTCTAGCTTTGGAAAAGCAGCAAGTTTGGTTGGTTGAGGCTGGTGCTGTTTTCAAAGACCCAGACAGCACAGAGAGCCTTTGGAAAGCTCAGGCCACATGTAGATGCTCAGCTTTAGCAGTACTATATTAAGTGCTTCCAAAGCCACAAAGGAGATAGACACAGCAAGGCAGCACACACCACTTCCAGAGGAAAGGGTGAAGGCTGTGGTGACAAAGTATGCAGATACTCAGCATCAGGGTTTCTTCCCAAAAATCTGGCTTAATTAGCAGCACCACACAACAGGCTCAGCCGAGAGGTGCTGGCTTCAAGGCTGTTTTTTCATCAGCTTCTTTCACTCACAGCCCACAACAACATCCTGAACAGGGCAGCTTTCCTCCACCTGCAGGAGCCAAGGCAAATATCTACGCAACCCACACCTTTAGTTCAGCTGTATAACCAAACAGTGTAAAGTGAAGCTAAAGAGGGTGCTGACACAAGTCATATAGGTTACTCAAAAGAAGGAGAAATCAATGAGACCCAGCTAAAGAAAGTAGAGGCTGGGGGGTGGGGAAGAGACAGAAATGCACCTGTGGAGGTAGGAAAAAAAAAAAACACAACAAAAAACAAAACACACTTTTTCAATTTTATCTCCTGCAGAATTGAGCTATGAAAGCCCCAACATCCTAGTAGAGAAGAACAGGCTAGGAAGATGGGGACAATGCACCAGAGGGTGAAATGTCTGTGTTGCCTAGTTTTCACCCTGTACCGGTGCTTCACACACACACACCTCATCCCACTGCTGCTTACATCCTTCCTCTCCTGCTAAGGACCAGATACCAAGCCTTAAGCACAGAATACTTCCTGGATTGGCTTGAGGGAATTAAGTTCACTCCTCTGCTCTCGCCTCCACTTATCTGTGCATGCACCCTGCACTCAGAAGTAGGGCCATTACAGAAAGATCCAGCTCTGCAGCAGAACCTACCTGATCCCCAGAGACTATGTGCCCAGAGCTCCCTACCTCTTTGGAATGGTTCAGCAGCCCCATGGAGGGCAGCAGGGAGCAGCTGAGCAGGGACTTCGCTCTCCTTCAGTCTCCATACAGACACCTAAGCTCTCTAAGCAAGTATTTTTGCTGCCTTACAGGGCACGGGAAGACTCCTGCAGCAGCCAGGAGGGTGTGTAAATCTTGGCTAACACCCTTCTAAAAGCAGTGCCAGAGCACCCTGCCTGATATACTGGAAAGGTGTGGTCTGTATTACTCTTAATTGCCCAGTTAATTAACATTACAGACAGCGGCTAAAGACCTGTCATTAGGAGTTTTACACTCAGCTTCCCCAAACAGATCACCACCTGTACCAAGGCCATTTAGTTGCCAGAGACACTCCCTAAAGGATGAGGCTGTTTGACCTATACCCAGATGAGGATTTCTCCAGCCTGTGATCTCGTTCACTCTCCCACCGTACAACTTGGAACAGTCTTATCTTCTGATTATATTTTCAAAACAGGCAGGACTTAAAGAGCACTGGTTATCCTGGAAGGAGCAGGGAAGAACAGTTATGCTAGAAAAACAAAAACATTGGAAGAGGATTCCAAAAAATTCTTGCTGGAGTAAGAAAAGAATTAAAAGTAGCTCCCACCACCCGTTAACGCTTTCCAACTGCAGCATTGGCAGTGGCCAATTACATAGAAAAATACCTCAAGCAAGACACTGTTCAGTCCTTTGCTTCCATGTATACAAAAGCTGCTTTTCTACCTTAAAGGCCCCTGAAAGGTATGAATAAGACTGCTCAACTGTCTTTTAACAGGGGGAATTTCTAATATAGCCCAGGGGTAGGGGAAGGGGGATGACACACTAATAATTTCTAATAACAGGGGCAGAGGAGGGAAGAGAAATTTTTTTTTCTCCTTCCCCTCTAAAGTACTTGCTCAAGAACTATTCCATCAGCTCTAAAGGGACCTTAGTGTGGGTGGAAGCACCAGAGCTCCTCCAGCTTGGGCAGGAAGTAGGGTGGTAGACCCCCTTTCCTGCTCCACCATCTGGAGACATTTGCTGGACTGTCTTTGTCCATGACCTCAGGAAGACGAGGATGACCCTGCTCAGCTGCTGTGACTGAAATCACCACACTAAACTGCTCCTGATGCTCAGAACAGCAAGTTTTCTCATCTCAAGACAACACATCTGTGGCACTGTTATGCCAACAGTGGTGTCAAATTAGCTTTAAACCAAAATCTTTGAAGACTTCATTGTCTGCTTTCACATTAAAGTTTAATTTTAAACTTCAAGTCAAGTTTGAATTTTTTCCTGAAGTTCAAACGACCTAGGCCCTTTGATATTTTTTCCAGTTGAAATGAAGCTTCCCTGCTCTTATCCTCCAAAAAGTCCCACCTGCCCTTTTTTGTTTCCAGAGAGAGGTAGGTTCCCATATAGGATCATTAGGAAGGTCCATTTGTGTAGTGCTTTGACATTCCTGCCTCCAAGTCTTCAAACCATATGAGCACAACCCTGACTTACCTAGTGAGCTCAGGGACAAGCAGGCAGTTCCCATCTCCTCTGCACAGTCAGGTACCGGCTCTGCATCCCCAAAGGAGAAGCAGCTGCAAGTTTTGCTTTGGGTTAGTTCTGCTGCACTTCTACACAGTGTTTGAGAGGAGCCAAGGCAAGGACTTCAGGAGGCCACCTCAGCCACTGACACAAATGTAGACACCACCCAGCATCACTCCTCTGACTCAGTCTGCAGCTTCCTAGCTGCCCTGGTCATTAAAAAGGCTCCCTCTTAACAGCAGCAGACAGTCAGTGCTAGCCCCAAAGCGCAATAAATAACCAGGAAGCGAGAGTGATTCAGAGAAACAGCATTTGGAAAGTTCTCAGCCATCAGGAAAGTTTTTTGTCTTGCAAGCAGATGCTTTCAGCCAGGGTCCCCAGGACACACTCCTGTATGTGGCCATGGCCAGGTAGAAGCAGCCCCACAGACCAGGTGGATTTTACAACTGCTTTATTTTATTATTTACTACAACTGCAGTATACCGATTTCATGCATTACAGACCTCTTCCTGCACCACAGCACAGCAGCCACAAACACCATGCACAGAGCTGCCCCAGTTGCTGCAGCAGCAAACCCCAGAGCCCAGGGGGCTGCAGCATTCACATCTGCTCCTGTGAGGAAAGAGAGGCCTCAGTAAAAACACTCTCCCGGAGAGGCATAGGGATGCCTCAGGGGCTCAGACTTTCTGTGGGAAAGACTTGGAGTAGGACCTTCCCCAGATGGTCATGTTGGGCTGGCACACTTACCAAGGCCATCCTTGGCTGTGTCCCATCTTATCTCATCCTGGAGGAAAATCACAGGGCCTTTGCTGCAGACATGGGAGGCACCATCCTCAAGAGGATGCTCAGCACTCCTTTTATCCCCTACAGAGCAATATGAAGCTTTTACGTGAGAAGACACACAGACCTGAAGGTCAGCAAAATTTGTCTAGGTCAGCTTCTCAACATATGAGAAGCTCTGAAAGCCAGGCTTTCATGCAAGTCAATAGAGAATTAAAAGCCTCTGAAGACCTCCTCAGTAGAAAGTAGTAGGAAATACCTTTCAAACTGTCCATGGCTCAAGATAACTAATCCATAGGCTACATGTCCTACGCCCCAGCTTAGAGGTTAGCCCCTTGTTGCCCCTTTGGATGGGAAGCAGGAGGGCTAGGACACTTACTGGCTATAGCAGGACAAGTGGTAGTGCAGGACTCCTGTACAGATCTGTGGCACACTGAAGCACTGCAGTGCAGGTACACCTAGGAAGAATGGACACAGCCTGAAACCACTCAGCCAGTATCTGTAGACAGTTCATACCCTGGTGTGGTGCATTGAGCCTAGTCAGCAGTTAAGTACCCATACAGCCTCGCTCCCCCTACCCCATCTCTGTTGGGTGGGAAAAGACTATTAAAGCAAAAGCAAGCAAAAACATGGCTCAAGAGATATTGACAGTTTTATAAGGGAAGGAGAACAGAAGAGGAAGTAACAAAAGCACAAGTGATGAAAGGCAAATCACCTATCCCACTCCCATAAGCAGACCGATGCCCAGCCAGTCTGAGTAGCAGCTACACTGGAAGACAAAACCCTCCAGTGTTTATTATAGAGAATGACATGATAACAGATAGAATATCCATTTGATCAATTGGGTCAGCTGACCCAACTGTACTCTTTCCAGCCTCTAGCCTACCCTATGCCTACTCACTTGGGGTTAAGACATGTTGCTTGGACAGCAGAGCTAGGAGAACAAGCCTTGACGCTGTGCAAGCACTATTCAGCAATTAACACAGTTTTCTAGCTATTAACACATTTTTAGCCACAAGTAAAAAAAAAAACAAAACAAAAATACAAACAACAAACCAACACCCCCCCCCCCAACCACCACAGAACTGCTTGTGAGGGCAAGAGCCCCCTGTGCGTTGCTATGAAGAAAGTTAACACATTCAGGCCAGACCCAGTGCACCTGACTACAGAAGATAAAGCAAGAAGACTACTTCTGCTTGCTTTGCGTACAGGCCCTGTGTAGCCTTGGAGCCCTCTGCTGCCTGCGGAGGGCAACCGCAGTGCCTTTACCATACACCTTCTAACTCACATCTGGCATTGCAGCACTTCTGACGCTTGGGACACAGCTGCCCAAGCACCACTACACTTTAATTTACAGAAAGTTTAGCATGGTTAAAGCACACACCCTAAGTTAGTTCAACAGAACAGCTTAGGCAGCAAGTTAGCCCTTGCTTAAGTAGACGTACTCTTTCAGCCCATTTCCTGACACATCACTCTAAGTGATGCACCTTACCTCTACCACATTAAACTCAGGAAATTAAGTTTCTTGCATGAAACTCTCTCCTCCCGTTGCAGGAGGGGGTTTTCTTAGACATTTGGCCTCCTCCTCCCAAGAAAACTAAAAGTCTCATAAAGTAGTTCTTACTGCTCACAAGTTACTTGTCCTCATTAGGAAGCTAGGCAACCAGGGCAGGATCTTACCAGTCCAGAGAGCATCTCTTGATAAGTGGAGTCCACAAAGGTGAATGTGTAGAGGGTGAAACGCTGATAATGAGAAGGGAACAGCAGTCCCGAGGTAACACTCAGAGGCACCAGCTGTGTCTGAAAGGGAAGTATAGCTTCCATCTGGGATAGAAGAAAACCAACAGCCATTTTAGAGCAGGAACAAACAGAAAGAGAGAGCCCGAGAGCATCCTTTATAGCCATGGCAATAAGTTCCCACCAAGGCAGGGAAGAAGCAGTGCTGGATTCACCCATCAAATACTCCTTTAATTCTCAGCAGAGATCAGAGCTCTGCACCAGGACGCTTGAACAAGTCCTGCAAATCTATCCTACCTGAGGCAACACGCAGCTCCAAGGACAGAGGACCTGGCTGGGGCACAGCAAGGAGTGGTGGCAATGTGAAGACTTGAACACTCAAGGGAATGAAGCTCCCAGTGGTGGAGTAACTACAGCGGACATGTAACCTGGTAGGACAGGAAAGCCCCAAATGAACCGGATAAAGGTCACTCTGATATCTCCTTTCTCCAAGATGGCAAAGAAATAGTTGCTTTAATTAGTCATATCCCCAGTCTTTCATCCCACATTTCCTTTTAACGCATACTCTCAATTCTTTTCAGAGTTCAGATTTGAGCCTGTGCAGCTTCACTTCATCAGCTTTATTCTTGCCAACTAGAGACATACCAGACCTTAGCCTACTCTATTGCCCTGTTGTGAATTCAGAGCTAAAGACAAGTTGTAGTTTCTCTAGTGACACTGAACACAGCGGCATTCAGCAATACAAGTCCCACGGTATTACCTGAAAGTGCTATCCCTAGTGACAGAGCCAAGCCTCCCGGTCTTCACATCCCTGGATGCCACCAACACATTCTCATATATGACCTGGTCTCCAGTCACCTGGAAGGACAGACCCGGCACTGTCACTGCAGTAAAGTCAAGCTGGATTAAGGCTGGGCTGAAGAACAGCATTTGGCCTCCGGAAGTCTACAAGGTGCCCACTATGTAGCTAAAGCCACACCAGGCTGTTCCAGGTCTGCAAGCTCCTGCTATTCTAGCCTGGTGAGGGCCGTAGCTCTTACCTGAAAAGTGGTGCCACAGGCAGGGAGCGGGAAGTGGTACACAACAAATGCATTGTTTTTCACAACAGGCACACAGCCAGTACTGTGTCCACTGGCCAGTTGCACAGAGTTCAGGATAACAGGTGGCAGGGTCGCATCCCGAGAGACAGCAATGGAAAAATGGCCATCTGGTGTGCAATGAGCTGTCACTGGAGGAAAAGATACAACCAGTCTTGAGCTCGGGGAGAAGAGGGATGGAAAGGAGGCTCAAACATCACAGCAAGGACAAGGCCAGCAAGTCCTGCAGGTTCTCCTGCCTGTCACCCCCAAAGCAAGTGCAAAGTACAGCAAGACAAGCTTAACCAGCTCCAAGACTAACACCAAACCTGGCCATAAATCAGGCTATGTTGCAATACACATGAAAGAGCTGGGTGCTTCAATAGGACCGAGTATTCTTGACAGCCAAAAACATAGCCCTAAGCCACCTGCAGAACCGGTACACACTAATCCTGCTCTGCCAGGGAAGTGAGGAATCCCAGTCTGCAGCTCCTCCAGGAAGAGGGGAGAGCAGTTGTTCACACTTACCTGTGTTACCAAAGTAACAAGGCATCACCCTATCCCTAGGGTCATAGCAGCAGCCTCGCACTTCACAGTCTCCTTGGCTGACAGGCAAGGAGGCACACAGCAGTCGGTCTTGGCTGAGTACAGCAGAGCAGACACTGCTGCTTGGAGCATCCAGGGCTGGAAGAAACAGCAGGAGTTTGTAGCTATAAAGCTCAGGAGTGAAGGACAAAGTCACAGAGGACACTGGAGAAAGGTATCATGGTGATGCAGCATACAAGTCAAAGGAAGCTGGACTCTGGTGAGGATCAAACACATGCCTGGAGCTGGCATGGAAGCCTGCTCAGAAAAGGCCTGTATTTCCCTGGGGCCTTATCAAGGAGACT